GTGATGTGTCATCAAGTGCCAAAGCATTTTGGATGCATATAATTTGATTTGGCTTAGTATTTTTTATTAGTTGACTTATTAATTTCAATTAAGATTTAAATACTTACATAGAAAAATCTCTTGACTTAATATTCTTATCAAGTCAAGTCTTATAGGTGATTTTGAGAGAGATAAAACTTGTTGTAAGTATTTTTTTTTTAACTATGGTGATTTATCCATTTTAATAAAATTTTGGGATATTTTCTATTCTTCACACTTGTACTTTTAGATTCTCTCTTTGTAGTATGAAAGGTAGCTTGACTTATTTTTGTATAGATTCATTATCTTTTTTTACAAGTATCTTGGTTGTGTATTTGTAATTGATTTAAATTACATACTTTGTGATTAATTTGTAGTACTTAATGTATTGTGTGTAACAATCTTTGTTTATACAACAAAATATTCTTTTGATCACATTATTATAGAACATGTTTTCTTGCTTGAGAATGCATTAAGCACTTGATTGTGAAAGGTAAACTAGAAATTTTAATAAATAAAGTCTCTTAAAATTCTAATAGAGTCCAAAATAAATTCCAATTAAACCTTAAAAAACTTTATAAAATTATAATTAATTCTAAAAAAAACTCAAAAAAATTATTAAAAAATTATAAAAAAAATCCTAAAGAAATACTTAAAAAAAATTAAATAAATCCTACATAAATTCTAATAAAATCCTAATTAAGTATAAAATAAATCTTAACTAAATCTTAATTAAATTCTAAACAAATCTTATCCAAATTTTAATAAAAATTTAATTAATTTTTCACCAAATCTAAATAAAATCTTAAAACATCTTAATCTAATTCTAATCAAAACTTATCTAAATTTTAATTAAATTTTAATTAAATTTTCACCAAATCTAAATAAAATCTTAAAACATCTTAATCAAATTATAATCAAATCTTTATCAAATTCTAATATAATATTAATTAAATCCTATCCAAATTCTAAAAAAATCCTAACCAAATTCTAAAAATATTAAGTATATCTTCACCAAATCTTAATTAAATCCTAATCAAATTTTTATCAAATCTTAATCAAATTCTAAATAAATCCTAACTATATTTCTATAAATATTTTAAGACCTCAATAAATATTAAATAAACCTTTAATCTTAATTAAAACTTTTTATATAACTAAATCTTCAAGCAAACAGCAAGCATAAAAAGTTTGGAAAAAATTGAATATACCAATTAGAAAAAAAAAAAAAAAAAAAAAAAAAAATCCTTATTTGCTTGAATATTGGCTATCTTAATGTATTTTATGAAGTAGAAGATGTAATACCACATCATTTAATGCAAGTACAATCTACAAATCAACGATTGTGTATTCTCCAATTAAAACATTAAATTCTATATTTTTATTGTAAATATAATTTACATCCTTTTGATATTGCTCACACCAATTTATCATACTATTTTTTCAATCTTGTGCTTATATAAAATATGCAAGATTATCATATTCTTATAAATTATCATTGATTTATAAGAATGTCTTATATTAGGAAAGATGCTCTTGAAGAACAAAGGTAATTTATTTCTCTTCACCAATATTGGCCTACATTGCAAAGATGTTGTTGAAGCTTGATAGCAGATCAAACATGATTTTTGAAAGAATCATGGATTTGGAGATTTCATTGTTGAGGTCTTTGAGCAATAAGGCCATCATTTCAAAATTTTGATTTTGAGAGCTTATATCATCAAAGGAGGACATTTTATAGTCACAAAAATTTTCTTTGCAAGTAAAATATATTTTTTTGCAACGCACTAGAGATAAATAGAATAAAATTTACTCTACATATTTTTGGCATTAGTACAACTTGTTAGTTTTGATATAATTCCTGAAGATATATCTAAATTAATAAGCATCTTTACATTGAAATTGTTTTGCTTTGACACATCTATGTGTTCTTACAACTCAATGTTATTATGTATTCTAAGCATGGGCATTAGTTTTTTTTCAATTCTAGTGATTTCATTAAAAACCTTTTACAAGTGGAAAACAATTTCTATATGGTAGTTTCATATCCAATTTTTATTTTATTTTATTAAAAACATTAATTTCAAATTTCTCATGCTTTTCCATTAAATTCATAAACAACACAAAACAAACAAAAGAATAAAATTTAATTAGTATTGATAAATAAAATTCTTATTAAACAAAAAAAAATGACAACAAAAAAAAAATACAATATGCACTACATTTAAATAGAATAAAGATCCATAACTTATTATATTTATTAACTTATCACAAGTAAATGCAAAACAACATCACAAATAAAACTAGTGTAAATCTTTGCAATTGCACTTTGAGCCACTTTACACAATTTGTATTTAAGATGCTACAAGCAATATCATACATCTCCATTCATACGGTAGATGTTGGGAAAAAGACTAATCTATTTGCAACACAACATTTATTTATCTACAGTAATTTGGTGAGTGATCTAGATTATTTAAATGACAAAAGTTGAATGAATGACTTCATCCAACAACTCGCCAATCAATACCCATGACCATTGGTGGCCAGATTGTCTATTCATATAGTGGGTATTATTTTTGAAGGTTGCTTATGTTCTTTGTGGTGTGTTTCCAATTCCACATGATCCTTCAAACATGGTGGAGGTTGATTCTGTGAAGCAGGGGTGGAGAAGCATGATGACTCCAGGAAACTTTAATGGTGTAATTTTTCCAGCTTCCCGCATTGATCTCATTTTGTTTTATCATATACTCACAAATAATATGTATTCTATTTTTTACCTTATGTCTTTTCCATATTTCTACATAAAAATCAATTATGTAGTGTAGTATGCACATTTTTTAGCTCTCATATAATATTGCCAATGTTATACTCAGTTTAAAATCTATTGCAATTGAATGTATTTTTTTATCTTTTATTACAATTTTATTGATATGGTATGTTTTTGGGCAAATTCATAACAATGCTTATGCTTTTTATTAATTGTTAGGAAAAATTTTAAATTAAATTATCAATATAATTCAAAACATTAAAAACATATCTGTTCTGAAATTAATGTGAAGTTTAAACTAAAACACTAGAAAATGAAATTTACATAATATTTTAATCATTTGAATTTCTTCATTTTTGACATTTTTTTATTTTTTATTTTTGAAGTATAATGTATTGGTGTTTTAACATCTAGCCTAGTCTGTTCTTTTCGATACATATCTTGAAAAAATCCTTTAAAAAAAAAAAAAAAGGTTAAATTATTTTAGTTTCTATGGCTTAAAAAAATAACTTATAAAATTATAGCTTTTGTGAAAATTTTGTGAAGAAAAAATTTGTATTATCATATCATATATATTTTGGTATATAGATTAAATATTTGAAAAAAAACAGGCTAATCTGAATTTTGCTTCTGCTTGTGAAGTTTATCTAACAAAATAGGATTATTGAAAAATATAAATACATCATTTAATCTTTAAATCTTTGCACTATGTTCACATTGAACCTTGTAGCTCATGTGTTCTAAAATCTTTAACTTATTTGACATGTTTTTTCTCTTTGCAGTGACAAGCAGGCAGTGGCATTTATGCTAAAGTCACCATTGCATGACCTCATCTAAACCCTAAAACCTGAACTTTGGACTGCATTGGCTGGGAATTGTTTGCTGTTGAGGGTTGTTGCCGTGGCTTAAAAAAAAACATTTAATTTAACAAATAGAAATTCTATTTTTCTAAAGACTAAATATATTTTAAGCTACAATACATTTATACTAAAAGATATATATATATATATATATATATATATAGATATATTTGTAGCTTAAAAATATATACCTGTAGAATAAATACATTTAGTTTTAAAATGCAATGAATAAAAATAAAAATATGAATCATTTGTTGTTCATCAAAATTTATTATAAATTATTTAATATATGTATTTTTCAATCCATACAATATAATAATTTAAATAATATATTTTTAATTAAATATCATGTAATCTTGATGTAAAAAATTAATTTGTGATTTTTGGATGTTGATTTTATTTAATTTATTATTGAATAATTTAAATTTCTATTGTGACTATATAAAGTAGTGTTATTTTTCAAAAACTCAAAGTTTTTAGGATTAAAATATTAAAGTGAAGTGTATATATATATATATATATATATACACACACACACACACACACATTCACATTTTATATTTATGTTTTACAAAACAAAAAAATAAAATAAAAATCTATTATTTATTTATAAATAACAACCATATAACTTACGAAAAATGAAAAATAGTTTATGGTATAAACACTTAATATGAAATTCTAGTTAAAGCAATAAAATAAATAAACATCACTGATTTTTAAAAACTTCTTGTCTTTCATGATGTATAAAATTCCATCTAATTTAATTTTACAACAACCCTACATTTTTATTCATATTTCATTTGTTCATTTTCATAAATTTTGAAATAACAAATACTACAATAAAAACATCACTAGTTCTGCATAAAATACTAAACCTCAACGAGCTCTTCTAGTACATGACATCGAATAATCTACACTTCAAGTACATTTCCAGCTTAAGTTTATCCAACTAATTACTTACTGCCCAAAAAGTAAATTACCGTCTGATTCTCTTACCATTACTTTTACCCTTTTGCATTATCACTAGTTACTTTTACGTTTACTTTTACCCTTTTGCACATGTAACTGGGGACACATGCAGAGTTACATCAAAATCGTGATGAAAAGTAGCTGACGTGGCCTCAATGGACTTACCGTTACATCTTTACCGTTCGATTTGAAACGTGGAAAGATGGAATCCCCCCCGCCGCCATCCCGGCGCATTCCCGATTACGACTGTCCAATCTCCGCTGACGTGGGTGACGGCTGTCGGATTGTGACAGCTCGTCCCACTAACTTCATCAATGGATGATTAATCATTCATCTTCTTCATCCATCCATATTCAATCTGAGAAACCTTCACAGGCCAGAGTGTCCCGACTCTTATACTGCTATCGCTCGCTACTTCTGCCTCGATTCTTCACTCCCTGCAATTGAATCGACAATTTTAATCGTATTGAGTTCAATGTCGGGTTAAGAGTTGCATGAATTTTCATAGAATTCCTTGAAGCGTTCGATATGGCGGAGGATGATGTGGAGGAGGAGGAGGAGGAGGCGGAGCTGGAGAGGCAGATTAGAACGATCAAAGCCCTCCAAACCATGGAGAAGGAGCTCATGCTGCCCACGCAGGTTGTGATGCCTGTTTTGATGAAGCTGATGAGGGTGAGACCTCGACCTGGAGATTTACTAGGAATGATTGAAGGGGTTTGGTTATTTTCCTTATCGCGCGGTTGGATTTTTTGTGGATACTTTTGTGGACTGTTTTTGAATTAACTGGAATGCGCGTCCAGGCTTACGATGATAAGTGGGAGCACATTGAAGCAGACGGATATCGGCTCCTGGCGGACATGGTTTTTGCGCAGAAGGAGGAAGCGGTGAGTTTGACATACCCTTCAGAAATGTGGTATGTGATTGTGCTTTTGAAATAAGGCCTTGGAAGAATAGGTACATCGTTGACGTCGATATTGTCGGTCACTACATGATGGTTTGGATTGTTCATTGTGAGCGAAATATGAGAATCTTGCCAACATCTATTTTCTCTTGATTTCTTGTTTGTGGGTGTGAGTGTAGGACATGAAGGCGGCGGCGGTAGGTCCGTCTGGTACTCAGTTTATCAAGAAGAAAAAGGGGCAAGAGTCTTGTGAGAGAAGATCTAATCCAGCACGAAGGACAGGCAGTTTTTGTAATAGAATCGAAATTGACGACTCCGACGTAAACGAAGCCTCCTCACTAAAATTGGTCCGTAGAATAAGACATCCAGCTGCGAAGCCCTTGACTCTAACCAGTGTTGCGTGTGCTGGGAAACGGAAAGCTAGTGAAGACGAGCCAGGTTGTGAGGATCAGACTGTTCCACTCTCATTCAGGAATACGAATCAGGTTCTTAGCTTCCCTGCATTTATTTTCTGACGCATTGGGTGCATTCTTCTTTGCTTACTCATCTGGTCCGCAGTTTGAAACGAAGGTGTGACAATTGACTTAACTGGACTAGACTTAGTGAGAGTTACTCATGAAGCGACAGTCACGTTCTTTTTAACTTTGGTACACTTGGCTTCACACACAGGTACATTCTTAATTCACTTTCGAGAGTGGAAGCAAACTTAATTTTTGGTTTATGCGCAGTGTGTGGAGCTTCAAAGTGTAACAGAGCGACAGGAATTGAATCGACTATCGAGAGGAAAATCTGTGAAAGCACCGAATATGGTGAATCAGCATACCCAGACCGAGGAGTGTTTTAAAGAGTTAGCTGGGACAAGAAATAATTCTCCTAATCCAAATGTAACTCAACCAAAACAGGAAAATATTCCTGTTTTTTTGCCCGCGAATGAAATTCGTAGACAAATTCTCAATCTGAGTGTTCCAAAAACAGTCGCGTGTGATCTTTCAATTGTGAAACAAGAAAACGAACCAACGACGTTCACGGTAGCAAATTCTCAAAAGACTAAGGAGTCATCTCCTACCACAAACTCTTTAAAATTCTTTAACCCTGAGCCACTGCAAGCAGTGGCCCCAACAGCGCACTTGCTCATAGCGCTCTCTTCGATAGACCCTTCGGTTGAAGTTATTATAACTCACGTGAATGAGTTGATAGAGAACGAAACTCAAGAATCATTACTTGCGCAATCTTCAACAAAAGCTCGATTGAAATGTGTAGGGTCGAATCAGCAGCTCCAGGTTAAGGGATCAGGAGTGACAGCTTGTTCGGCAAACCCTGCAATTGAAACTGAAGAAATAGTAGAAACCCATGGAAGTTCACTACTTGTTAAACCTCGAGGCGAATCGGACGGCGGACTAGAGGAATCGGCAGGTTACGTGACTGATTCTGATACTTCAGATGCAGAGATCCCACTTGAGCCTGAAGGTGGAGTAGAGGAAGTGACAAACTTGAAATCGAAATGTATGAATCCTCAACTCTCAGATGCAAGAGGAGGGTGACTGCACTCAGAACGCCGAGGCTTTGGGTCAGGTAGAAAACGCACAAAAATCTCAATCAAGAAACAACCTTTGCTGGATGAGCATATTCAAAAATATGAAGACAAGCCTGGTCCAGATGTTTCCATTGTAAAGCACAATGACCGTCATGATATCAGCAGAGGGAAGGAACGAATCCCTATTTCTCTAAGTGGTCCTTATACTAAGGAATTGATTAGAGATTTCTTTTACATTAACAGAAGCGTTATGTCTAACAATGCACAGGTAGGTACATCAATGGCAAGGATTGGGGAGGATGACAGATGTAGTAACTATTTGGGTAATTGCTTAGATAATCCCACTCCTTGCGAGTGAGCTAGATCAGCAGGCGGAGAGTATGCTTACACAGTGGAAGGCTCTTTACATCCCCTTTTTCTTAAACAGGAACTGGAGAGAAAGGACTTCCGTTTGCCTGCCTTTTGCATGTATTACTCTTCATTTTGTATGCTCTCATTACGAAGAGGATCTCAAACGTATTTTACGACGACCTTTTATTAAAGAGTGCTAGGAGAAATGTGGTTGCACTCAGCATTGTGGCAACCGTGTAGTCCAACGAGGCATCAGTTATAAATTGCAGGTGTGGTGCCGGCGATTCTATCTATTCGTCATTTATTTGTGATGAGATCTCCCGTTTATCACTCTTGAGTTTCAATAGTTTCAATTATTTTTCCTTAGTAGACATGTGAAGCAAAACTTTAATTGCCATAGGTATGGAGATTGGGCAGGTCTTCTGGACAGAAACTGGAAAAGGCTGGGGTGTGCGAACCTGGGATAATATACCGGCAGGATCATTTGTATTCGAATTTGTGGGTGAGATCCTGACCGATGATGAAAGTTTCTTGCGTCACCTAACAATCCCGGCAGGCGATCCTCATTTCTCCCTGCAGCTGTTAGGCACCTGGTGCGCTGAGAAGCGTGAAAGGAATATTCACGTGGATGCTACCAATTATGGAAATGTTGCTCGTTTCGTCAACCATAGGTGAGCCTAAAACTACACCGCTACTTGAACGATAGAAACACCTTAAATTTTCAAAGGATCTACGGGTTCCTGGTTTTCAATTCTGTGTCGTGACATATTTTTTTAAGGGACACAAGAGATTATTCATCGATTTAATAGAGTTAAAGATAGAAAGACTGAAGAAATCAAGTGTATCACTTCTTTCATACATAACATTCTGCTCCTCGTACGAATGCACGTCGTAATATGTGTACCACCATAGTGTGCATTGGCTGACGCCCTCTTAAACATCTTCTGCAGCAGACATCTTGCACACTGTAGGCTATGTTTTGCTCCAAATAACTGCGGTTGCTATGTTCAAAGTCATTCAAAGTCATTACGGGTTCTGAGAGTTTTAACTCCGTGGTTATTATTCAGATGCTACGACAACAACCTGCTTGAGGTTCCTGTTCAGATCGAGAGTGCGGAACATGATCATGTATGGATAACTTCCTTCCCTCTCGTTTTGCACTCAGTAGTGAGCCTAACCTCATAAATTCTGCTGCAAATCAGGTCGGCAGTGAGTCTTCAGTGTGTCGAAAAGTTTCGAGAGGGTGATGACATCTTCATTTGTAAATTCCTTGCCACGTCTTGATGTGAGTCATGCTTATTGCACAAGAGAATTATTGGTGCAGGTCGCATTCTTCACCACCAGAGATGTAGATGCAGGGGAAGAGCTCACATGGGTACATTACTATAATTCGGTTGTTTCCATTCATGTACATTCGATATAATCCGTCTAGGTATGCTAACGCCCGTTATCGCTTTCCATTATATTGTCGACAACCAGGATTATGGTTTGAATTTTATTGACAAGATTCAGCGGGTTCAAGCGTTCGACTATCTTTGCGGAAGTGACTACTGCCGGGGTAACAAGCTCGAAAACAACTGGTAGAGGTCAGCAATAGTGTTTCTGATTCTCTCATCGTCCCTGCCAGTGTCGAAGACTGATAAGCGATATTCTTATCAACCGAAGCTACAGATTACGTAGCCAAGATGGAGACAAGGAACACTAACAAATTTCTAGCTACATAAATATGCGAAAATTCGAGGCACAAGTTCTCAGGCGTTACTCCAGGCAATATGGTAGGTCATCGTTACCACTACGATTTACCAATTATCGTTGGTCATGAGGAAACTGAACTAAGATTAGTTGTGACAAATTATCTTAAGTCAAGTTAATTAAGTTGGACTTGGGAGTATATATTTTGTATTACGGGAGTACTTGACAGAGTGTGCAACTCTTTAAATAAAGATTATGTGAGTAGACTCTTGAATAATTGCCAATCACCTGCTACAGCGTGACAACCGACTTTCCCTGGCAAACTTCAGTGCGGCTCTTCATAGCACAGCTTTCGATGGATTTGACAAATCATGTGACATAGAAAAGCAAATAGAATAAAACAAAAAAAAAAACTTGTACATGTCTGATGTACCAATTGGGAAGACCTCACTCGATATGGTAGACAGATTACAGACACCATAAAAATACTAACATCACGAAAAGTGATAACGAGGACTGGAATCAACATATGGAAGAGTACTTCGGCTTCTATCCCAGCTTGCTTCCCAAAAAATCCCAATGATTTTGTACAGCGGCAGCAACCGCTTGTGGTAATCAGTCTACAATCCACCAGATATTCTTTCACTTCTTCATGGCCTAATCCTCGTATGTTCGGCACTCATCGGTCTCAGGGTTGTCTGCGCAATAAGTCTCCAAGGGGTCACTGTTAGCTTTGTTGCGGTCACGCTGGTGAGCGGCCTCAGCAGTGAGCTCCTCTACATTGTCCCATGCGACAGCACATGGTGCAGAGGTGGGGTCATCCTCGCACGTCTTCTGAGCTTCAGCAATGGCTTCGGGGATCTGCGCATGCAGGAGACATGAATTCCCCTACCATTGAGAAGATAATCCAACAAATCTCCAGCTGGTCGAGTGTTTATAATCAAGGGAATCTCTTTGACCGATGGTTGAAGCAACCGCCTGGCGAATAATACTAATGGTATATTGTAAAGACTAATTCACTAAAAGTTCTCAGAGCATGACAAGTGCTTTCCCCGTGCCAAAGATTCATAATTAGGTCAATATAACTGAATATCGACAGACGCAGTCTCTGTATAAATTGAAAATAGAGATCACGAGTGGGCAAAACAGAAAATAATTAACCTTCTAAGACGACTTAAATCGCGCTGACAAACTTGCACATCGACAAAAATGCCCTCAAAAAAATTCTAAAAGTTTGACGATACAAAACGAACAGAATAGAATAATAATGAAGAACCGAAACGGTGCAATCTAAGATCGCAACCAGGAATCAATTACTCAAGTACTCACCTTATCCTTAATATCCTCCTTGGGAGAAGCCTTGACAACAACAGACAGACGCCTTTTGATCTTGATGGGCGCCATTCTGGCAGCCGCAACAATGGAGAAACAGCCCTTCGGGACGAAAGCCACGGAAGTAGCCATGGTGGCTCCTGCTACGGGCATCGCAACGGTAAGGGCCGCCATCGCTCAAATACAGCAAAAACGACGCGGAAAAATGATAATTCTATGCAGAGGGTGCCGAAGAAGCAGGGTCACGGCGAGATTGATGCGACTGGGGGAGTGTACGACGCAGAGAAACACTGCGCCGGGCCGAGACTGTGAAGATAAGTGCAGGGAGCAATGCAACCCCAGAATTGTAGTGGACGACGCAGCTGCTGAGCGGTGGAGACGTAAAGAAGTTGCGCTCACGGGCAGCCGATTTCGTTCCTCGGGCAATCGGGCGAATTTTCATTATCCCGCTCGTCCATGCTCGTCCTCTCCAGACTTATCCGGGTTCATTAGGGGGGCAGCACAGGCTGGCCTGGGGTTTACAGTATCTCCTGCGGTTCCCTTTATGTCCGCCCGGTATATAGAATAGCGTAAGAGATATTTTGTGAACTTTATTGGTACAGGACAACGAGAGTTTCTTTCTGTGTCATGCATTGTAAAGGAGATAGTTTCACGGCGTCACCAAATGGCTGGAACTACTTTTATTCAAATTATTCAATATGTTTTCCTGTAATAATAATAATAACAATAATAATAAATCCTTACTCCTTTTTCCAAGTTTAAAAAATATTTTAAGCTCAAAAATTTGTAAAAGACAAAGATAAAAAAAATGTTGTATAAAATCAATAATTGATAAATATTTACAAATTTTTATTTAATACTATCTATAATCCAAATAAAGAAAAAAACGTCCTCTTTTTTAAAAAAAATCATGAAAATTAAGATTGAAAATAAATTCCAATAGCAAGACCATAATGATATTGGAGATCAAACTTATGATACACATGTTTTAAGTATTTTTTTCTAATAAATTCTGAAGGAGACCATTTTTTTACTAAACATATGAAACTTATAACATAGAATAATATTAGTTAGGAGAAATATATTCATTTTTAAAAGTACATAATTGAATTATTTTACAAAAATACATGCTTTGTCTATATTTCTAAAAATATTTTTTTATTATTTTTTATAAATAAATTTAAAAACCATAATATTCAAATATAGTAACAGAATATATTTTAAATTTACATAAAATTAAGTCTAAAATTTATCAAAAACTGACATATAAAAGAAATTATATTGATTAATTTAAGTCTTTTTTATTGATTTTTATAAAATATGTTTTATTTTTAAAAATTCCATTTTAATGTTGTAAATATTATTATTTTCAATATTATTTCTTATTTTTTAAAATGATGTATATATATATATATATATATATATATTTATATATTTATAAAAATAATAAATATTTTTATAATTATAATTTTTATATTATTTTATATTTTAAATATCTTTCTATTATGTCACAATAATAATTATATTTTTAATATTTTAATTAAAAATATACACTTACACATGTAAAGCACCACAATTTTTTAATATGTAAATCATTACAATTTGGATACAAATAAAATTTCTTATAATTCAAATCTTTTAAAGAAGACTTGACTGAAAATAGATGATATGAAGATTCCAATAGAAAGGTAGTACTTGGATGGCATGCAACAATATACCTTACTTTGATGTTAGACTCTATATCCATAGTATACAATCAATACTCAAATGAAAAATTTGATAAAATCTAAGTGGTTAGTAATATATGAGAGGACCTTATAGGCTTGTATAAGCTTCAATAAGAGACATTTCCTTCAACCGTTTCTACTATAGAGTGACAAAAGATTAGTCACCAAGTAGCAAGGTTCTATTAGAAAAATAACTACTTATTTTATATGTGATCCAATAAAGTTAGGCATATAGTTTTAAGGTTAGATATTAGAACTTCATTGATAGAGAAAATACATAATCAACTTAGATATTTTAAGATGTGCATAATATATTCTGTGTTGAGCAACTAATATTGGTAGATTGATATATATATATATATATATATATATATATATTAATAAATCACTACATATGTTTTATGGTGTGAAGTGTACAATCAAGTTAGGTTAAAGTTTTAACACTTTATTACCTTAATTGAAGTCTTTACATATTAAAAGTTTTGGCTATTGTTTGTTCTTGGACTTTTCTAAGTTGCATATTTTTATCCTATATAGAAGTAAATAAGTATTAATGATAGTAGAGCATTTTAGGAAGTTAAATGAACTTATAGCTTTGCCACAAAATTCTTTAAAGTTCAGAATAATGACTTTTTAAAATTGTGTAGGCTTATTTTGGAGTACTTACAAAATTCATAATAGATCAAGAAAAAAATTTCTTTAGAGCTTTTAAGACTTTGTATATGTAAGCTTTGGTAGATCGTCTTATCACCTTAAGAAATCATTTTGGGAAGATAGCAAAGCTAAATGAGTTATTCAGACCATAAAGTGTGGTTTAAAAAATATAAATTGCTTCATAGCAACTATTATAATTTTGACTTGATATTATCATGGATGGCAATAAGTTAACGCTTTAGCAAGCATGTATCTTTGGCATTTGATACTTCTTATCAATAATTATATTAATAAGAATTGATTCAACTAAGCTCAATATGTAAGAAGAGAGCTTTAATTGTGAACTTTAATGACTTTAATGTTTGGATTTAATGTTTGTAAGATTAATCAAAGCTCTTTAAAAAGATCAAAGGTCATAGAAAACTTATCTATTATTCAACATTGTAATACTTTATAATATGTTTATATTTATAATAGAGTTTATTGACTTTAATTAAAGAGATTTTCTAAAATAAATTATGTATATTTGTAACATGGAGTGCCTATGATATTTGATGTTAATACAAGATTCACAATTCTTTGTATTAAGGATATGTTGTCTAATGATATTTTATTGCTAAAAGACAAGGATGGATAAGAGTATTAGAAGCATTCAAAAAATTGTGCTCCTTGTCATCTTTCTATTGATAGTTCTATACATTTTGAACTAGAAATTATATCAAATAGCTTTTCTTATTTTATATAAGTTGAAATAAAAGAAATTACTAATATGCTATTGTGTAACCAATGCCAACATATGTGACATATGATATGCTTAATATTACATCTTTTGACTCTTTTTTTAAGAGATTAAATTTGTTCTTAATGTAGAAAGTCTTTGTCATGTTTCATCTATTCATAAGGCTTGAAAATTCCTTCTTTTATGTTTGCAACATATTTTGGTTGTCTAATTGCTACAATATCTACTTAGTTGGATATATATTACACTAATATTATTGCAGCATTTATCTTTGATTAAGTATGTGGTGTTGTCTTAGCTAATAAGTAGAACTCTTAATCGGATAAACAAAGGAGAGGAGGTGATAAGGAAGTACTTAAAAGTATGTGTCACGGATATATATCTATTATAATTATTATTTAGGTAATATGAATAAATAGAAGTAGATGAAAGTAAATTAATTTCATAATATCTTCTAAAAAAGCTTCCTAGAAGCTTCATAGATGTTGTTTTGAGTTTAGATGTGTTTGTAGTTGATTGGTAGATTAGAAACTTTGTCAACAAACTAACCACGTATTACATATATTGATAGCTTGTAGAACAAGCTAACCATGTGGTGCCCCTAAAAAAAAAACTTGCCTTACAAGTTAAGATATGTATCATGTAAAGTCAATACATTTTTGAAGGTTTTGTAGAACATTGCTACATAGATCCTAGGTAGATAGTATATATAGAGGCAAGAATGAAGTCTTCTTTACTCTTCTCAATTCCTTTCTTACTTTTAGTCTAGTTTCAAGAGTCTTTCATTTCCTTGTCTTTTGGCAATAGCCATTCTAGTTTCTTTTTTAATATACATACTTCTCTATTTTTATTTTGTCATATTGCTTTGAGAGAGTTTTACTTATTTATTTTCTTTCATTGAGTTCTTATCCTTGATAGATTGATAAAAATATAACTACAATGTTAGAGCTTTGTCTTTTCTTAATTAAGAGTAGATTTTTTTTTTTTTTTTTTTTTTTTTTTTTCTTCATAAGACTAAAGCATATTAAGAATTGCAGATTATCCTCTTCTAAATTTGTATTATCATTAGTATTTTTTCTTCATTTTTAAGTCTTTTCTTCTATTTATCTTGATCAATATTAGAAATCTTGCTTTTTTTAAGAGATATCATGGTAGAGCTTCATAAAATAAAGAGTACAATGATACAAATGCAAGAAAAATTTAGGAAGTTAATGCTTATAATGCATCAACTCAATTTACCGCCATAAGAAGCAATAAGAATGGCAAGGGCTAAAGATATAGAGATGATTGAAGTTGCTTCAACATCTGTACCAAATCATATCTCTTTTCTTATGATAGAACACATTTTCAAATATTAAAGAATCAAAGATTGCATTATCTAAGAAGTTTTATGGTACAAAATCCAAATTTTGAGGATTAATCAATCAAGTGGGATGATTGTGCACGTTTTAGTCAATTTCTCTACAGATTATAATATGACATAAAAAAATTGATGTTCAACTTACTTAATCCTCAAACATTGAATCAAGCAATTGACTTTGCTATGAGATGTGAGAATTGACTTTTTGAATTTTGATTAGAGAATCATACAAAAGCATTTCAATATTGCTATAATTCAATGACAATACTACGTAGAAATATTCTATAGGACCTCTAATATGTATTGACTTTGCTAGCGATATGTCTTAACTTGCAAGGCAAATTATCTATGTATGCACTACATAGTTAGCTTGTTCTACAAGCTATTACCTGGAGTTAATTTCTTCCACAAGCTATTACATGGAGTTAACTTGTTCTACAAGCTACCAATACGTCATTAACTTGTTGGACAAGTTTCTAACCTATAAATACATCTAAAGTCAAAATCACTAATAAAGACAAACTTCAATGGAATCAAGAAGTGAAAGCAATATTTGAAGCTTTAAAGACAAGCTTTATTTTTGCACCAATCTTGTATCATATTAACTTTTCTAAACTATTTTCTATGAAAACAAATGCATCGGACTTTGCTTTGAGTGCTATATTATCACAAATGTGAATATATGATAAACTTCACTTAATAGCTTTTCATTTAAGAATTTTTTTAATAATCGAGATCAACTTCAAGATTCACAATGTTGTAATGTAATATGACTAATAGGTGAAAGGGGTAAAGAATCTATTATATTATAGAATTTCTTACTTCAAATATTATAGAAAATTATTTTAGAAAATA